AAGTAAAAAGGCATAGTCCCAATGTTACCAAACCACACAGCAGGCTATTAATTTAAGTCCATTGACAGTCCCAAAGTCAGCAGTGCATAGCAAGTTGCTGAACGATGACATGGCTGTGTGCAGGGTTCAAGTGTGCCATAAGCTAGAGACCATTCCCAAAGCTGCTGCTTATGCACAGGACGCAGACCACATACCCAAAAGCAGCTACTCAACTGCTCACAGTAGATTCTACCATGGAGTTGATTGCCAGTCTCATCATGGGGAATACTACATCCAGCTGCCCAGCCACTCAACCAGGCCTAGCCAAGGTGACACACAAACTTCACCACACTGAGAAAGATCAAAGATTACAGCCTTCAGTGTGGATTACACATCAACATCAGGAAAACCTAAATTCTCACAACTGGACCAATAAGCAACATCACAATATATGGAAAAAAGATTGAAGTTGTGAGGATTTCATTTTACTTGGATCCACAATCAATGCCCATGAGAGCAGCAGTCAAGAAATGAAATGACATACTGCAGTCGGCAAATCTGCTGCGGAAAAAACCTCTTTGAAGTGTTAAAGAGCAGAGATGTCACTCTGAAGATTAATGTGTACCTGACCCCAGTCATGGTGTTTTCAATAGCCTCACATACATGTGACAGCTAGACAATGAAAAACGAAGACCGTAGAACTGATGCATTTGAATTGTAGTGTTGGCAGAGAATGTTGAATGGACTGCCAGAAAAGTAAACAAATGTATCTTGGATGAAGTACAGCCAGAATTCTCCTTAGAAGCAAGAATGGCCAGACTCCATCTCTGGTACTTTGGAGTGACCAGTCCCTGGAGAAGAATATCATGCTTGGTGAAGTAAAGGGTCAGCCAAAAAAGGAAAAGATTCTCAGCCAGATGATTGATGCAGTGGCTGCAATGATGGGCTCAAGCACAGCAGGGACTGTGAGGTTGACGCAGGACCAGACAGTGTCTTGTTCTGTTGTGCATAGGGACGTTAGGAGTCAAAGCATGCTCAGCAGCACCTAACAACAGTAACCATCGGTCTGTGTGTCTGCTAGGAAACTCATCAGATGTTATATATATATATATATATATTTGTCACTGTTACATATATATAATAGCTGTATCTTTCTAATAGGGAGAATATACTGCAATTGACCGTAACTTTCAGAGCGACTGTGGATGTGTACAATATCTATGTGGTAACTATGTATTTTGTTCCTTTTGAATGAATACCGTTGATACCTGTTGTTCATTACTAATAAATTGGAAATTATTTTCTTTGAGATATATAGCATTATCTTAAACCAGTTTTTTAATTAAAAAATATATGATTATTTTTCAAATTGCCCCTCTGTATTATCTCTAGATGTTCTTGGAAATTTTATAACAAAACAGAAAAATGGCTATGTGTTTTAGAGACTACAGATTTTTTTAGTTGCTACTACATTTTATTCTTCTATATCTTTACAGGACAACATGAAAAAGTATGAAAGTTTTTGCCACTGTTTTATTATCGCAAAGCAAAAACAATGTTGATATTTTCTGTAAAACACAAATCTTCCAAGTAAATATAAATATAAATAAACTAATAGAAAATAAGACTTATGTTCAGCAGCTTGAAATTTTTGTGTTTTTAGATGAGAGAGGGTTTAAGTTTAGTGCTAGAGAGGCAAAAACAGCATCTAAGTCGAGTTTTTATTCCTATTCTAGTATACATTGATATACGATTTTAAAAGCTACAATAACACATTAAATCAGCTACCTCCATTATGAAATACGATTTACAAGACTTATTTTACAGCAGTGTAAAATTGAAATTTTTCTTTAAAAATAGTAATTAAAATCCATGAAATAATTTACAACCTCATCACAAGGAGGCCTATTACTATTCGATTTTGCCTTTGTCTACATCTGCCTCCAAAAATTGTCATGTTATGTTTTTGGAAAAAGGAGTACCAAGTAGCTTGCTCATCCCTAAAATCTCATATTCCAGAACCCACTATCAAACCTAGATTTTTGAGGAAGTCCGAACACTGAACAGCAGTTGATTTTACAGATCAAGGAGTAAATGTGCTATAATTATTAAGTAAACTTTTGGGTTGTTAACAATAATATAAAGGTAAAGATCTTTGTTGTTTTGAAAATTTGCATATCACAGTCAAAAGGCAGACTTAATATTCCTTTGGTTAATGAATAAAAACCTATAGAATATTCTTGTTGCCTATTTTTTTTTTCTTTAGAAAAGGATGATATTTGTGTATTTCAAGAAGTATCAGTATTGAATCCTGGACAATCAATGATAAAGTATTTGGAAGGGGACTTTTGCTATGCAATAGAATGCCTGGATGAAAAAGATAACTACACAGGCTATCACACTCTGAATTTTACAATGGTGAATTGTTCAAAAGAATGTGACATTGTAAGTATACTTTATCAGTGCTACTGGTGAGAGTTCATGAATCTTAATATGGAAGCTCTACAATTTGAAATAGTACATACTCTATGAGTTAAAAATATGTAATTGAATATTATTCAACAACCTATTAATGTGTAATATATATGCATATGATTCAGATTTTATTTTTCCCATTTATGACCTTGAGCTTCAGGAGTCTATTGTTTACAGCTTGCTTGCCTGAGATTGTTAGACCTGCTTGGTTAGCCTTGGCTGTTAGATGTAAAGACTGACATCTACTTCACTTCTAGTATACCTATATAATTGGACTCATAGCGATCCCCCCTTGCATTTCCAAGGTGGTATCTCTACGGAAGTAGACTGTCCAATCTTCCTTCCCAGGAGGGGCTCATGGCTTTGAACTGCCAGTCTTCTGGTTAGCAGTCAAATGTCTTGGGCACTATGCCACCAGAGCTCCCATACCTATACAAAGTCAACTCTTATTTGAAATTCTTCAAAATTTACCTTAGAAATGGCTACAGGTGATCTGAGAGACAATTATTTGGGGAGCACCTTCAGAGCTAACTCATCTAAAAATATTGGTGATGCACACATGGCTAGCTCAATGTATTATCATTATATGCAGCACCAGGTATACATCCCATCGCCAAGTGATTATGATTGTTGTGGTTCCTGCAAAAATGTATCCTGCAAATTTTCTGTGGAAAATGGAGCCTCAGTTATATATGAGGTATGAATTTCTTATTTCCTAAAATGTTTTCCTTGGAGGATAATTCTCTGTGCTGTTTTCTGAAGAAGATTTGTTTTAGTCAAGTAAGTTTGGGAAATGTCACACACACATGCCTCTTCACACACAATACACACACACATATATGTAACATATATATAATAAACAAGGCATAATTACACTTGTTACATGTTAAAGTAACTGATAATTTATGTAGTAAAAAAAAAAATGTTTAACTTTTTTTTCAAGTTTACTTTATTGTAGATCTTCACTTGTTTGTGTTTTTCCACCAGATGTGAGGAACAGGCTGTAGGACATGCTGATTTCTAATTATTATGAAGGATGATTAATATGGTCCTTTATAACTATTTTATATACTCATTTGTAATGAAGCATTTTAATAGAAATCTGAAACTTAAGTTGTTAGCAATTTTGTATTTGAGATATTGAAAATTTCATTGGGTAAAAAAGAGAAAAAATTTACATATTTTATCATTTTTAAGAGATGATCCTAAGGGTCAAGGATGCCAAAGATCCAAGGTATTCCGTTGCTATACCAGATCTCGCCACTGAAAATAAGAGAATTATTCTAACTTCTCCCACTATTCATAGTTATCCTATACAGATTTGAAGACTGACCCACTCCTCTAGGACAGCAAAATGGAACTTTGTGATTCTAGTGTAGTTTAATGTTGTCATCAGATTTAGGAGGGTTACAAATTCTGTTTATGATTTAAATGATCTGAAGTTAGTTTCAGCTTCTTAAATGTATTATGGCCGTTCTTGAGTGCTCCCCTGCACCTCTATTGATAGTTGAATTATCTGGAGGACTTATTTCTGATATTGACATTTTATAACCTTTTATCAAGACGTCATGAGAGTAGTCAAATATCCGAAAGAACTGATTGTCTCATAGTTGCTGACTTAAATACTGTTGATATTGCTGATAATGTTTATCCTAACAATATTTCTATCTTATATATTTTTCAAAAGATGTCTTGATAAAAGGTTATAAAATGTCAAGAAGACATAGGTGTCAGTGAGAGAAAAAGAATCAGAAACTGTAGTAATTTGGGTACTTTAGTAAAAGGATGGCATAAACTCTAATATCAAAATCAAACCCAAACATACTGCCATTGTGTTGATTCAGACACATACTGACCCTATAGGACAGAGTAGAACTGCCCATAGGGTTTCCAAGGCTATAAATCTTTATGGAAGCAGATGGCCTTATCTTTCCCTCACAGAGCAGCTGGTGGGTTCAAACCCTCGACCTTTTGGTTGGCAGTGGAATGCCTTTACCACTGTGTCAACAAAGCTCCTTAAAAATAACTGTAAGCTATACAAAATTAGAACCATAAATCAATTAGTACTGTCACACAAGCAAATTTTTAAATTTTTGGTAATAAAGGAGTGGAAGGAAGAATAAACATATCCTAAGAAGGGAGGTGTACAAGTTATATGATTTGTTGTTTTATAATTAGTAAGAAAATATTAAAGCAAAGCCTTTGACACTTGGCCACATTAGAGAATTAATTTTATAGTGCAAACAGACACCTATTTGTTTTTCTGCTATAAAATTAATTCTCTAATGTGGCCAAGTATCAAAGTCTTGCTCTAATATTTTGTTGCTAATTATAAAACAACAGCACCAACACACACATACACATATAAAATAATTTTAAGTGAATTTGGAGACATTTTCAGATGGCATAATTTATGTTACAAAAAATTCTGTGTCTTTATTTTATTTTTGATTCAGTGGTATAGGAAATATTTTACTTAAGAAATCTAGTACATTTTAATAAGAAAAAACAGTTAACTTTATCCTTTTATTTTTAGGAGGGGAGTACCTGGAACTATAATTGCACCACATATGAATGTGTTAAGACTGATGAAGGGGCAGTGATTCTAAACTATAGTATGGTCTGTCCTCCTTTTAATGAAACTGAATGCAAAATGGTTGGTACTTGTTATAAATAAAAAAATGTAATATTAAACACAATTGAGAAAATACATATTAGTGTTTATCAAGGTCATAGTTATTTCGATAAAAGTCCTTTTCACACATACATAAAAGCACTATATAATTTTATGTTTGCCATTTTGAGATATGTATGATATCCCAAATAGATTTGACTCTGTCTGAATGGACACTTTGCTATCTCTGGGTTTTTATGTGTAGATCAAGGAATTATTGAAAAATCATTTGGTCAGCAGATCTGATCTCTTTTTCAATATGAGTTACTAAGCCAATTGATCAGGAGCTCTGGTAGCTAGTATCTAAGGCACTTGACTGCTAACCGGAAGGCTGGCAGTTCAAACCCACCAGCCACTCGGAAGGAAGATGAGGCAATCTACTTCCGTAGTGATACTGCCTTGGAATCCAAGGAGGGGTCGCTATGAGTCAGGTCCGACTCCACGGCACATAACAACAACAAGCCAATTAATCAGAGATTGGGCAATTATCCTACTTAAAGTAACAAACAGATTCTTAATGTCATTCACCTTTTAGCACATGCTTTCCTATGAGAAATTTGTCTTGTTCTGAGTACGGGCCATTGTAAAACCTAGTACAAGTCACAGTATTTCTGATCCATTCATTTTGCTCTCTACCAATTCTGGACTCTCTCAGAGGAGAGTCTATTGGGAGATAGATTTTTTAAAATTGTATAATTTTTGTTCGTAAGGATTCTTTGTAGTTTAATTACTTAAGCAGTAATACCTAAAGAAATGGAATTTATTTCTAATAAGGTTTATTCTTAAAGTTAAAAATAGGTTATTTTGTGTAATCATGTAATAGGAAATGTGTTATTTGGTTTCTTGTACAGAAGAATATTTTTACACGTAGAAAAATAGCATAGTCTCATTAATTTTTTTCCCCACAATATATACCTTTTTAACAATGATGGCTTTTTAACAATGATAGATAAATAGATATGCAAACCAAAAAAAAAAAAAAAAGAGTCTAGCATACATGACCAGAGAACAGACCAGTCTCACTGCTGGAGAGTTGGTTCCATCTCAGTAGTGACCCCTCCTTTGGTTCCTAGGCAATATCTCTATGGAAGTAGAGTGCTCAGTCTTCCTTCCCATGAGTGACTGGTGGGTTTGAACTGCCAGCCTTCTGGTTACCAGTCAGAAGCCTAACATGTGCTAAACTCATAGAATTTTAGCTCTGGAAGGAAGCTTAACCATCATCTTACTGTACAGATATATTTTTTAGAGTAAGCCATTATTCTTTGAATTTCAATAAGCAATTTACTATAACCAATCAGCAACTTACTGTAAAAATCCTAAAGATGCACTAAATACTTTTTATTAATTTATTTAGCCTTAGAGAAGAGCCATTCAAAAGTAGGAAAGTGCTTTCAATTGTATTAAACAGAAAGATATGTATTTCAGTATTCAATTATATTCAGAAATGTAGTCTAGTCCAATAATTTACATCATTTTGGATAGCTGAAAAAGTAGAATAGCTTCAGTTTATATTCTTATTCTTTTGTATTGGTAAGAAATATGTTATGGCATTTAAAAAATGTTCTTTTAATTAGCTTAATCTTTCTGCATTCTTGTTGATAATACATGATTATACAAAATAATCCATATTTAACTTTAAGAAAAAAATCTTACTAGAAATAAATTCCAATCATTTTTCTATAAATACTTTGCAATTTATTTAATAAAAATATTGGGAAGGATTTTTTTATTATTATTTCTAGTCTAATGGGAAACGGAAGAACACTTTTTTGACTATATTTCTTTCCTCTCTTCCTAGAATGAAGGGATTGTAAAGATTTATAATGAAGGCTGTTGCAAGATCTGTAAGTTAGAAGATATTACATTAATTAGCTTCATATATTAATTTTATTCCAATTTTGGTTTTTCTCTTAAACTTCAGTTTCCAAGATACAAAGAGGAAAACAAATTTTATAATGCATAATGTTTAAAAAGTTTTATGTCGTAGAGTTACTAACTGTAATTTAGTCTTTATCTTCTGGAGAATGAGTAAAGTATTCTTCATTTAAGTAATTTTTATTTTGACTAGTGGCAATTTATTTTATTGTTGCAGTTCCCAAAAGATAGGATAATAGTAAAGTTATAAGTGTCATATAGTCAAATTTATTTGGACCACACCAAACTACATAAAATAGGTTATAATGAGAATAGAATTGTGATACTAATAGGAACACAGAGAGTGCAATATTTTCCAAATCTATTCGAACACACTGAAAGTCGATGGTTCTGTACAATGCATTTGGGAAATGCCATTTTGGTAAATTGGGTTTAAAAACTGTATAAGAAAGTTTCAATAATTATTTTGATAAAGTATGTGCCTACAATATATTTTCTATTAGTTTGAATTTTAATGATTTTTTCATAGTGGTTTTGAATGACTTTTAGGACAGAAATAGAGTAGAGGAGTAATCATGCAACCATTTTTTTTTCTTTTTCAAGGTGTCTATGAATTAATGTAAAGATAAAAATGAGAATTTCAGGAAAATTGCTATAGATATTAATTTAACAATTGTTTGGAGAAGCTCTCTGAAAAAGGGCCACAACCCAGTGTAGGTTAATAATGCCATGTTGTCGGTTTGGATTCTTAGACACAAGTTCTGGAATGAGATTTCTGAGCCTCTTTCATGAAGGGCTAACTCTCACAAATATGTACAAGAGATCTTACCTTTTAGAACTGTGTATAATCATGTTGCACAAATATTAAAATATATTAAAGTATTAATATACTATAATTATGTATTACTGCACAAATAACAGCTTATAAATCAAGAAATCTACTAAGTTTCCTGTAAATTGTAATTTTCTTCACAATAATCCTATGAAATAGGTTGTGCAGCTATTCTGGTTTTCAGCTCACAGAGGTTAAGTTTTATCTTTTGTGAGTGGTGATGCTGGTGATTGATGATTTGTTTATTTACACATATCATGGTCATTCCGAGAATTATTTTAAACACCCATACATCACACACAGGTTTATGTCAGCATTATTGTATATGTGGAATGTTTTCAAATGACTATTATGATAATTATTCTAAGATGATAAGAAAAGAGTATTAATCTAGAACATATAAAGGAAATCTTTTTAGAATGTGAAAATAAATGTTACACATAAAATATGTAAGAGTGAAATATGAAATCTCAAGACAGGATTATATTTATATAAATATATAATTTTCATTATACTTTTCAATTATAGATATATTCAGATATTTGAGTAACTTAAGAAATAATTTGACATGTGCCTTTTTATGAAGAAATGCATCATATGTTTTACCAGGCAAACGAGAAGAAAGAATATGCCAGAGAGTGATTATAAAAGCAATCATAAAGAAGCAGGACTGTACAAGTCAAAGCTCTGTAAGTGGACAAATATCATTTTTCACATAAAGAGTATGTGTTTCCAGAAGTATATGTGTCACACCACTAACAAGTATTTGTATGTTAACAAAATGCCAAGACTTACTTAAATGTGAGATTATTTTTATACTCTAACATTAAAATAATTGTTCTTAGCATAAATAATAAATAGTTCTGCATGCTATGTCCAATCCAGATGGATGGAAGGTAAGTAACTTTATTTAACTACATACTGTCTTCACTAGTAGTATGCAGTTCTACTCATCAAATATAATCCTACTTCTAAGCTTTGACCCCTTTAATACAACCTGTCTGACTCTGTAGTTTACTTGAGTTGTGACATAATGCAGTTTATAATAGAATAGTTAGATTGTGATTAACATAGTTCATGTTGTTGTTAGTTACCGTTGAGTCAATTACATCTCATGGCGACCCCATGTGTGCAGAACAGAACTACTGTATAGGGTTTTCAAGACTGTGACCTTTTGGACCTTTTGACAGGACTATTATCTTCCAAGGTGTCTCAAGGTGATTTCAAACAGCCAAACTTTTGGCTGGTAGTCAAGCACATAGTTGTTTGCACCACCCAGGTACTCCTAATATATTCCATACTCCTACCTAGTATAGGAGCTCTGGTAGCATAGTGCCTAAGGCACTTGACTGCTATCCAGAAGGCTGGCGGTTCAAACCCACCAGCCACTCCTTGGAAGGAAGGTTGGGCAATCCTACTTCCGTAGTGATACTGCCTCGGAAACCCAAGGAGGGGTCGCTATGAGTCAGGGCCGACTTGACGGCAAATAACAACAACAACAACACTTAGTTATGAGTTTAATTTCATGCTCTGTGTTATGGCAGCACTACTCTGTCGGGTGTGGCCATTGAACATCCCTTTCATTTATCTGAGTTATATTTCAGCTTAGTGTTTTCTGACATCTGCTAATATGCAGAAGCTTGAGGGTTGTATTGATGAGGAAGAGGACCATGATTTCATCTCATTTCCTAGTGAAAAGAAAGAATAATTAGTGTTTTTAAGACATTTTTGTCATTACTGTCTCTCCTTACAGGTAAATGTTGCATCTTGTGATGGAAAGTGCCCATCAGCTACTATATATAACATCAATATTGAGAGCCACCTAAGATTCTGCAAGTGTTGTCGTGAAAATGGAGTACGAAACTTAACTGTGCCACTCTATTGCTCAGGAAATGGCACCGAAATCATGTATACTCTCCAAGAACCCATAGACTGCACATGCCAGTGGAATTGAAGTCTTGGATTCCAAGAACTGTACACAACATCATAAAGTCATATGGAGTTAAATTTGATCACTAATATTTAAACACTGGGCAGATTTTTACTTTTTAACAATAAAGTATTTTTCAGATATTGGGTAATTTAAGAATTGGTACAAAATATATACTATTTCAATGGCAAAATTAGATAACTTGATTTACTCAGCTTCATATAATTAAATGATTTTAAAACATTTGGCAGAAATGCTGTTATATATAAAATTGCCACATACAACAGACATGGAATATGCGTTACTCAGTAGGGGTTATTTTGCATAACTCCTTCCATTTCACTCAGCAGTTTGTTCGTTTGTTTGTTTTCAAAGTCTGCCACAGCTATCCAAATTAAGACACCTTTGAATCTGTACCAGTAGCTCTAGTGGCATAGTGGTTAAAGCATTTGCTTGCTAATCAGTGGTTTGAACCCACCAGCCACCTGTGGGGAAAAGATGAGGCAATCTGCTTCTTAAAGATATAGAGCCTTGGAAACTCTATGGGACAGGCAGTTCTACTCCATACTATATGATCACTATGAGTTGTAATTGACTCAATGGCAGTAGGTTTGATCTTTGGTTTTGACTCTATACTGTTTAGTCTGGTAAGTACAATTAGTTAAAATTGGCATCTAGATAGCCATAAAGAGTGAGGTGCTTAGAGGTGGATTATAGGACAATAAGATTTTGATTATTTAAAGCCTGAATGGATATTAATGATGTTATTGTACATTCTTCTCATTTTTCAGGCTGAACAGATAACCAGCGAAGCTGTGTGACTTGTACAAATTCATTCAGTATAACCATATAGTGAGCTGATGCTGGCTAGAGTTTAGGACTTTTATTTCCAGTTTTCTTGTGTTTTTCTTCTAAACAAGAAGTCTCTCGCAGAAACTTCCCTTCTTAAAGAATTTGCATAGGATAGGACTACAAAATTAAAATTCAGTGCCTTTAATAAAACAAACAAAAAAGGCTACACACACATATACATTTAATAGCTTTCACCCAAATAAGGAAAATGTAGTTTCACTTGCTCAATAGAGGAGAGAGATCTTGAGCCTTTATTTTTTTATACCATTAAAGCTATTATCAAATATGTCATTACTATTTAACATCATCTAGTTAGCTTATTTGCTGTTTTATTGACTGATTCTTGAGATGTATTTGCAGACCATGAAAGTTGAATGCTATTTTGCTGTTTATACTGCAGCTTTGTCAATGAAGAATGAAATAAAATTGAATGTATTAATGACTCTATAATGGAATGCTGTACCTTTTATATGCAGTAGATTATCAACTTTTGCAAGTAGTGTATTGTGTTAGATTGGGTTCTCTAGAGAAACACAAAAACCAGCAAAGTGTATATATATATTTAGAGAGAGAGAGAGAGAAATTTATCTTAGGAAAATGGCTCA